TCTGGCTGCGCCGCCCACCTGGCTTCACTGGGTCGTTTCCTCCTGGTACCCAGTGGAGCCTCCGGCGGCCAGTCTACGGTCTCCTCCAGGCGCCCCGTGAGTGGCACGACACACTGAGGACTACACTTGCGGCTCTTGGGTTTGCTACTTCTACTGCCGACCCGTCGCTGTTTCTACGCACCGACACCTCTTTGCCGCCGTTCTACATCCTCGTGTACGTCGACGACTTGGTCTTTGCCACAGCTGACACTGCTGGACTCGCCCACGTGAAGTCCGAGCTGCAGAAGAGACACACGTGCACAGACCTAGGTGAACTGCGCAGCTACCTTGGCTTGCAGATCACTCGGGACATAGCACAGCGCACCATTACCCTGACTCAGTCACACATGGTGCAGCAGGTCCTTCAGCGCTTCGGCTTCACGTACTCCTCGCCTCAGGCCACTCCTCTGTCTACTCGCCACTCGCTCTCAGCTCTGCCTTCGGATGAGTCCGTAGAGCCGAGTGGCCCGTACCCAGAGCTTGTTGGCTGCCTCATGTACCTGATGACCTGCACTCGACCTGACCTTGCATACCCTCTTAGCATTCTGGCACGCTATGTTGCTCCAGGGAGACACAGACCTGAGCACATGGCTGCAGCGAAGAGGGTGTTGCGCTACTTGTGCAGTACGTCGGGCATGGGGCTCGTGCTTGGAGGGCGTAGTCCAGTGGTCCTTACTGGTCACGCAGACGCTTCGTGGGTTGACGACCTGGCTACGCAGCGGTCGTCACAGGGTTACACCTTCAGCCTTGGTTCCGGTTCTGTTTCGTGGCGGTCTACCCGCTCGTCTTCTGTTCTCAGCTCGAGCTGTGAGGCTGAGATCTACGCAGGGGCCATGGCTGCACAGGAGCTACGCTGGCTCACCTACCTGCTGACTGACCTTGGAGAGCCGCCTCGTTCTCCTCCAGTTCTGTACGTAGACAACAAGGCCATGCTGGCCTTGTGTCGGGAGCACAGACTGGAGCATAGAACGAAGCACATTGCTCTTCGCTACTTTCTTGCTCGTGAGCTGCAGCAGCGTGGTCAACTGCGACTTGCTTACGTGGCCTCTCAGGCCAACACTGCTGATATCTTCACCAAGGCACTTGCGCCTTGTGATCATCAGCGCTTCTGTACTCTGTTAGGTCTTGTGCCTACTTTGCCTCACCTACTCACTTCTTGACCTTGCTTGTACTGTGATCTATCTATACCTGCACTTGCTTGTTTACCTTTATATATGATCTTGCATGTGAACTGGCCTTGTGGCCTTGAACTTGTGCTCGGAATGTGTGGTGACATTGTGATCCACCCTGAGCTAGCTTTGATTTGCTCTGTTTGACTGGTCTTGTGACCCCTTGTTCTCCCCCACTTTGCCTATGGGGGTGTGTCGGACTTATATGGCCTAGTCTGTGTAGGCTGTAGCGGGTTAGATACTAAGGGGTACACAATTCTAGGGTTTCATATTTGTATCACACTCATCCCTTAGTCATCCATTCTCGTTCATTCTCACAACTTAGTGAAGGATCGCTCAGGGCTGATCGCAGAGTAGTGTTTGCAGCGGAAGTTTTGAATCTCAGGTCAGAGTGAATGTAAATGACTGAGTTGATAAAAGCATGCATACATCGAGTTTATATAAGAGTACAGGGGAATACGAAAAGTCATAGACTAGCCATGTACTATAAGGGGTACATTCCCTTATTACAGCAAATTCAAACCGTGCGGCGCGGGAACCCGTTTTGAACCTGTTCCCGCTCTTTTCGTTTCAAGTGTTTCTGCCTGCATCGGTCTTGGTCAGACGGTTGCTGCGTCGCTTCGACTCTTCTGACTCCTCGACTTCGTACTCGGTAGAGTCGGCTCCTGCAGCATACAGGAATGCCTTACTCATAAAACTTCATATCGTAACAGAAAGGAAAGAGGCTCTGAATACCAAGTGTTACGGGTGCAATGAATCGAAGTAACGAGAATTGCACTAAGGTGTCAAACGAGTACAAAATGTGAGCGAAGGCATGAGCGAACATTTATACGCGAAACATGCAAACGGTAACGCGGTGCGTGCGAGCTAGCTAGTGCTACGCTGGCAGTGAGGCTCGGGCTAGTCCCGAAGCGTAGGCCAACACGGCCGGGCCAGCAGTGCGAGGTTTGGTGAAACAGTGCGCGCGAAGTTGGCGAAGCCCCGTTAGCACTAACGGGCGAACAACCTGCTGCTGTACGCGATGTTGCAGGGCGCGCTAAGGAATGTCGATAAAATTCCTTACAATGTCACACAAGCCGAACCTCAATCTTTATTTGATTGGATCGTGTCACAGCCAGACTCTTTGGAGTTACCCGACACTCACGCGGTCCTGATTGGTTATATCGGACTGTGCTGGAGCTTGAAATGGCACCCACGAGAGCTGCTGTCGCTTTTCGTGGACATCGATTGGGCCGCACGCACGCGCTGCTTGCGTCAGCATATTCATCTCCCAACAGGCTTGGTGTGAGGTGAGGAAGGGCAGGTCAGGTCATGCGTTTGTCTTTCGCGAACGAACCAAGGATCCACCCTGCCATGTGACACGGTCAGGTTGGTCGGGTTTGGCTGGGCCCGCGTCAACGAAGCACACAGGGCAATGGATGTGAGGAGGATGAAATGAAACGGCAAACCAAACCAGTGACCTGCTTCCCACAACTGTACCACACTTTGGGCAGGACAGGGCAGGACTGCTGGTTCACATGACACCGCACCAACGACTGTGGGAGGCAACTCCGCCATCCCACATGCTTCACTTTCCAGGGCATTCAAATCCACGTCATTTCAGCAGCGAACGGGTTTCTTCTCTGCTGGATGACGTGACAGGTTGTTCTGTTGCTGAACGTAGCTGGCGGGTGGTGGCTGGAGGGTCTGCTGAGCATGTACACATGAAATGACACCCAGGTCAATGCTGCCTGGCAGCAGTACACATCATTGGGACAGTTCACTGGATGCGTGTTCTGCAACAGAACAACCTGTCACGTCATCTCCACCACCTGCAGAAGGACCCCGTTTCAGCTCAAGCTGCCGAGCATTGTTCCAGCGCTTCCATTCCATCCATCCATCACATCACCGATTCACCACCACCAAGCCCAACAGCGCGTCACGCGTCTTGTCGCGCACACGTACCCCATCCCACCCCGACGAATTCCATCCCCCACCACCTTACCCCCTTCAACCTCAACGGCAATTTGTTCCGCACCGAACCGCACCATCATCACCGTCATCATCACCTCACCACCTACCCCATCGAATCCATCATCTCTCATCTCTCCGCCTACCCCCTCGTCTCACCTTCCATCCCACCCAACCCCTTCCATCATCCCACTTACGTGCCAGCCATGGCCCACCCATCAACCTGGTGTACGCTCACGAGTCACACCCAACTCACCTCTCGAATATTGAACCAAGCTCCCATACCAGGAGCTCAAAACCAGCAATTCATATCTTCAACCCATCCATTGTCATTCTTCGAGCTCTCTTGGTTTCACAAGTTGGTAGAGCTATTTTTCATTAATCGGTTTCCTGATCATCACGCCACGGACTGGCGGTGCGGATATCTCGAACCTTTGGCAGCACCAGGCGGTCCTTCCTTTGTGTGTGCCAGACGACGTGCGACTGCGATCCCGGGCCACACGGGAACAAGAGGTTAACCTCTACCGTGACGCTTTAGAACACAGTACCGTATCGATTAGATTCACGACCGAGAGAAAAGGAAACACGCGCACACAGGCACACAAGAAGGAGGAAAAAACAGAAAGAGCTTATGGAAGGGGACAACTGCGAGCACGGGCTTGCGATTGACCCTGCTATCGATGTGGAGGAGGAACGGCTCGACAGCAGTCGCACGATGCGTCGCATAGTCGTCGCAGTGGACGGCAGCGACGGCAGCGACATGGCCGTTCACTACGCGCTGCAGCGAATCGCGGACCCGATCACGGACCACCTCTTTCTCCTCCACGTCAAGACACCTCGCCACCGTAAGCTCATCATGTCCGTCAACGGTTTCCGTTACCGACTCCGTTACCGTTACCGATCCCGTTTCTGTTATCGTTACGTTTCCCGTTACCGCACGGCTCTTCACCGTCCAGATCCACGGCTTTCACACGGTCTCTCCATTCCGCGTTTGTCGCCTTTGATGTACTTCCTCCACTGTCCTGCTCTGTTCTCAGGCCGCTCCCAACTTATCACCTCTCATCTCATCTCTTCTCGCGTCGTCTGATCTCGTCTGGTCACATCTCGTTTCATCTCATCCGACCAGTGCCATCCGATTCCTTGGCTGCGGCCGCGCCGACTTGCCTGCCGTCGTCGCCTCGCGCATCGTCATTCGCTCGACGAGGCAACACTAAGGACCATACACCCACCACCGCGAACACCGCTCCACCCTCCAACGGTCGATTCTCACGCAAGCGTCAACATGATTCCCTGAGGTTTTCTGTGTGGTATTCCGCTGTTTCCGGGCCAACCGAATCTTATCATGCCGACCGCGCGTCGTCCGCTTCCCTCGGCGCCTCCACCGATCGCGCCGCAGCTCTCCTCGCTTCGTGCTTTCTCGACGCCGCTGCCACCGCCGCAACTCCCGCCGCCGCTCCCGCCGCGCCGGCTGCTCTCACGCCGTGGCAGCTGCCGCGTGCTCCTATCAGACGGCTCAGCGAAAGCGGCGCCGGCGTCGGCGGAGGCAATGGCGCAGAGCCTCTGCGGCACGTGCGACGGCGGAGCGTGGACGGGTTGCGCATGAGCGGAAGCTCCGCCTCCGCCGCACCGGATTCGGCGGAAATGCGCAAAGCGGCGGTCGCGGCGGCGCTGATGCTGGAAAGCGCATTTGAATCGTCGGGAGGCGCAGCAGCAGCAGCAGCCGGGTGTTTAGATAGCTCTGTTGCCGGGGTGGGTGATCATAAAACGAAAGCAGCGTCTGCAGCTTTGTGGAGTCGCGTGGATGGAGATTTAGAAGGCAGTGGTAGCGCCAACAGGCCTGATATGCCCCTCCCCGCTGTTCACTGCTTTCCTGGCGGTTTCGGTGCCGTGAAAAGCGGCGAGAAGCGCGCCGGCGCGACGAATGCGGGCACGGGGAACGACGACTGGGCGAGAAGGTTTCGCGGGGCGGACGCGTACGGCGCCGCGGGTGGCGCGTGGTGCGGCGGAAGCGGCGGGAGCGGAGGGTCGGTGAGAGCGCATGGGCGGAGATTGGGACGACCGATGAGGCAGCAGCAGCAGCAGCAGCAACACATGGACGTGAAGGTGGGGATTGTAACGAATAATGGGTGTTTGGTGGCACGTGGTGGGGCTGCTGAGGAGAGCAATGGGATGTGAGGAGCGATGGCTGAATGTTGGAATGAGTGTGTATGAGAGGGGGAGGTGGGGTTGTGGGATGGTGGGATGGTGAGGTGGTGGGATGGTGGGGTGGTGGGGTGTAAATGGACAGAGTGAGCAATGGATGCGTGGTTTTGATAGCGCCATTAGAACAGCTCGGGTTCTTTATGTTTGTGGTTTGATTCCTTATTCCTCACTCCTGTTCCTTACCCATGTGTGATTGGATGACAACTCTCATGGCATGGCATGGCATGGCAGGTGGCGCGCTGGTTGGAGCGGTTTGCGCGGGAGGCGGAGCAGATGGGCGTCGCATGCGACACTGCCGTGGTCGAGGTGAGGGGGGAGGGGGAGGAGGGAGAGGGGAAGAAACATGGGAGAGGAGTAGGCGGGAAGAGGGGAGGGAGGAGAAACATTGGAAGTGGCGACATGGGTGGGGCTTCACAGGTGATGGGATGGAATGGTAAGGGGATGGTGGTGGTGGCCATGGATAACTGGTGCAGATTTTCTGGAGGTGAATGAATGAACGACTGAATGTATGGATGAATGGATTGAGAGGAATGGTTGTTGGGTGGAGGACTGGCAGAGTGGGTGGCTGGAGATGGAGGTGAGGGAGGGATAGATGGAAACTTCGAGTCAGTAAAAAGATGGGATTGATATATGGCAAGAGTCAATGAACTAGAAGGATTTGGAAGGCATGTGCTGTGCTGTTCATGTGTGAGGAACTTGACAATCGAGTTGTCAATCCGAAGAATCGAGTTCCTTCTGGAAGATCATGTGGTAGCCCCGGCTCTTCTTTTTTCTCTCCCAAATTTCCACACTGCCTTACTGCCTCACTCCCTCGCTGCCGCACTGTCCCACAGTGCTGTCTTCATGTAAACCTAGTTCCTTGCTGGTCTGCTGTAGGTAAGGGAGAGACGTATGTAAGGCTGTGTGGTGTAGTGCATGGGTGCGTGCATGCATGCATGGGTCCAGTGCGGGCTCACCTCCTCATTCTCTCCCACTCTCCCTCTTTCCCTCACTCCGCATATCCACTGTCCCCAACCCCCCCCGCCTGCTCATCAGGCCATGGACCCCTGTGAGGCTGTGCTGTGCCGTGTGCATGCAGTGCGGGCTCACCTGCTCATTCTCTCCGGCCATCTTGCTGACTCGGCTGGTGGCGCTGCTGCCTTTGCTTCCGACCCCCACACCTTTCCTGCTCCTCCTGTCGCTGCTGCTGCCGCCACTGTTGCTGCTGCTAGCAGTAGTGTTTCTTCTGTTGGTGTTGGGGCAGGGGCCGGGGGAGTAGGGGTATTGAGTGGTGTGCGAACCAGGGGGGGTATGGAGCGGATTGGTGTGCGGGGTGGATTGGGAGTGGGAGTGCGTGGGGTTGGAGGTGTAGAGAGTGGGTGTCCTGTTCTGGTGGTGAGGCCGGGGGGGAGAGGGAGGATCAGGGACCATCGCAGTAGCTTGATGGAGTTTTGAGAAGAGGAAGGTGCAAGTGGAAGCATTTATGGATATTGTTAGGTGCATGCATTGAGAATGCTGGTTGCATTCTTGTTTTCCAGGAGCTTGGTATGGAAGCACACATGTAGTGGTGCTTACATGAAACCTCCCCCTCATGCTGCCCATCTGTGCGTTTGCATTCACTAGTGGGAATTAACATTATTTCACTTCATATCATGTACATTTTGAGACTATACTGCTCGTACGTATTTCAGAACATCGAACTCACCTAAAACCCAGCTGACGTGGCCAGGTCTCAGCAGAGGCGTCAGACAGCTCAGCTACTCGTGCATAGCGTGCGATTGAGCACGTCAATAATGCCCAAGCCCCCAGCTCGCCTCGTGATTTCCTTCGAGAGGATCTGCTGCTGAGGCGCGACTCGCGGGTCAGGAATACTCGAGGGAGAGTTTTGCTCAATCCCGCAGAATCGCGGTTTGTTTTATTATCGCCACGTGGCAAGCCTTCGATCGCGTGAACCGCGATCTGTTTTATTGTTATCACAAACTTCAAGTGAAATTAGTTAAGTTCTGTACTGCGCTGCCCGCGGGCAAAAATAGAACCCATTCGGGCCTGGCATGCGTTAGGGATGCATCAACCCTAAACACCTTGCCTCTAGGTGTTTAGAGCCAGCAGCTAAAATAGTGACCCCCCCCTTCTGGTACAGTAGTTGGGTCCAACTTGAAAACGGAAGTTTTGGGAAAGTTGGAAGTTACGTGTGAGATTTTCTTTCAACACCAGAGTTTGCCTCAAAGTGAAGGGGGAACGATTGGATCATATTTATGAACTCTGATTGGTGACAAACTTTCTCGCACATACATGTGCGATTTTGGCGCAAGGCTGCACGACGAGCAAAGCTGCCAATCGTTCCAGTGAATGTACCAGTGAATGTACCAGAAGCTTTGCGTGACGCAACGACACAAGCAGTTCCGACAACCCACACACATGCAACGAGAATGTTTAGGTGATCCAGAGCTAGTCGACCTGTGAGACCAGTGCAGCGAAGGACCTGCGGCCTGCTCTTTTAGAATAATATTAACAAGGGGAGGGGAGGGGACGGTAGTGAGGAATAACGACGGGAAAGATCAAGGGCGAGAGGAACAAGGACGGGAATGGAAGCGGAGATGGGAAGAGCGACGTTAGGGGAGCGGAGAGAGGAAGAAAGAAGGGAGGGGAGCGGAGACACCGAGGGCGAAGAAAGGGGATGGGAGAACAACAAGAAGACGCGAAGGTAGGGGAGTTCTTGAGGGCGACGAGACGGGATGGAATAAAGGTACGCTGATCGAAAGGAAAGGGTGATGGCAATATCGTGGGGAAGGGAAGGGAGGGGCGATGGCGCGGGTAGAGAGGAGCGCGATGGCGACTACTCGAGAGCGTTTCGTGGTGCCGACAGTGACAGGAACCGTAACGATCGCGCGAGAGGCGAAAGAGCACTTCGCCGGAAGGCAAGCATATATATAACGCCGGGACAGAGCGAAGAAGAGAGCGAGGGCGATGGGAGAGAGGGCGACGGGAGAGAGGGCGACGGGAAGGGCGCGGAGAGAGAGAGCACGACGGGAAGGGAGGGGCGAGAGAGAGGGCGACGGGAAGGGAGCGGAGAGAGAGAGCGCGATGGGAAGGGAGGGGGGAGAGAGAGGGCGACGGGAAGGGAGGGGAGAGAGAGAGGGCGGCGGGAAGGGAGGCGACGGGAAGGGCGCGGATAGAGAGAGCGCGGCAAGATGAGAGGGGCGAGAGAGAGGGCGACGAGAAGGGCGCGGAGAGAGAGAGCGCGATGGGAAGGGAGGGGCGAGAGAGAGGGCGACGGGAAGGGAGGGGAGAGAGAGAGCGCGATGGGAAGGGAGGCGACGGGAAGGGCGCGGATAGAGAGAGCGCGACGAGATGAGAGGGGCGAGAGAGAGGGCGACGAGAAGGGCGCGGAGAGAGAGAGCGCGACGGGAATGGAGGGGCGAGAGAGAGGGCGACAGGACAGGAGGGGAGAGCTCGTAAGCGATGGGACGAAATGGGAAAAACGGGGTGGGAGACGAGAGAATGTTTCGAGGCAAGCGCGAATGCGAAGAGGTGGGTGATGGGCGGGGGGGGACGGAATAAGGCCGCCGCGAGGGCAATTCCACGCGAATGTGAAGGTGATGAGCTGAGCGACGAAAGGGCGTTTCGGCGGCGAGCGCGTTCAACCGAAAAATCTCGAGGCAAGTATCGCTACGAGACGCGTAAGATCCCTCGTCACTAGGCCACGAATAGAAGGATGTGGATTAAATATATAAAAATGGTAGTTGCCTAGGCAAAAATGCCTACGTTTTCAGCTATTCTAAGCTTGGCTAAACTAGAGACTAGAGTGGAAAGAGGTAGTGGAACCCAGGTCCAGCTTGAAGTTGGAGTTGGGCCCAACGATCGCAATGATCGCCGTACAGCCGTCGTGCGGGTGCATCATGTTGAATGCGACTCCTTGTGTAAGGCCTAGAAATTTCGTTTTTGGCGGGAGCCAATCAAATGGGTTCGATCTGCACACACGAAATGTTTGAAACTGTGCTTTGCAAACCCACCCGGGAAGATCCTTTCAAGCTGGGACGGGGTTCACTATTCTATATTTCGGTTTTAGGGTTGATGCATCCCTAACGCATGCCTTACCTATAGGGGTTTTATTTTTGCCCACGGGCAGCGCAGTACATAACTTAATTAAATTTCTCTTGAAATTGTGATAACAATAAAATAGATCGCGCTTCACGCGATCATAGGCTCGCCACGTGGCGAAAATAAATCAAATCGCGCTTCCGCGGGATTGAGCAAAATTCTCTACTTGAGGGGAACTCTCGGCAAGGCAAGCAGGTCTCTCTATTCTCTCCACCACTGCTTGTGGATTCAGTTCAGGTTTCCAAGTCTCTTACATCTAGTGAGATTCATTTTGAACGCACATACTTAGTACGGTACCTGGAACCACCGTCGTGATAAGGTTTTCAAGATGAAAACAGCCACTACTATCAACAGCCTTCATGACGACCTTCTCGTCAGGATCCTCTGGCATTCTCAACCCGCTCCCGAAGAATCGTTGATGGACAGATTGTGGAACTCGTTAACTCCCGATTTAAAGTCTATCCGTCTACCGGATCCTGATGATATAGATACTGAGAAGTACGAAACACCCATACCCACCCCGGGTCCCTCCGCGGACATCGCTTTGAGCCTTCTAAACGCGTCCATCTGCCGTCGCTGGCGTAACCTTGCAAATGCACACATTTTCACGCTTGTAGTTAGGGAAAACTGTCAGAGGTCCACTGGTGATCCCCGATTGATCCTAGGGAAGGGTTACAGGCTCGTTGTCCTGGGGGGTTATGGACGCACTGACCCGCTACTTAACAAGCCATTTTATCCCAATGGTCTAGTGGTTGGGATTCTGACAAAAACTGCATGGTATCTAGGGAAGATCTTGCTGCAGGTGTCTCTCGTTTTCCGAACCTGACGCACCTGCACTTAAGTGACGGCAGCGTGGATAGACTGGACGACGATTTCCTCTCTCGCCTTGCCTCATCATGTCTCAAACTCACCACCCTCCATGTTGGTTGGGGGAGATCACGATCGCTCCGCAAGTGCATGAAGTTTGAACATCCAATAACGTCGGTTGGCCTGGATGTACTCTTCCAGAAGTGCACGGGGCTGTAGCAGCTTTCGATCTTCCGCTCTCTTGATTTTGGTGATTTATCGGCTTCATTCTTCCAGCTGAGTCATCTGCGCAAGCTTCTTCTCACCGACCGTGCAGTTTTGTTGAATCCGAGGGTTAGAAACTTCACTTGTCTCAGTACCCTCTACATTGGCTTCCCGTTTTTTTATCGGCACCTATCCACCCTCGCTCACCTCTCAGGCCTTTCCCATCTTTCCATCCGTTCTTTTTGGCAAGTCGGTCACGACTCGTCTCCTTCAAGCATGCCGACTTCCCTTCAGTCGCTGAAACTCTCCAATTCATGTCCTCCGGACGAATTCATCTTTCTTGAATCGCCATGGACCCGCCTAGAGGACCTCCAGGTTTCCGGTTACAGGCAGCTGCATCACCTTCCAGACCATTTGGGAGAGCTGCTACCGCGCCTGCGCAGGCTTATTATGAAATACTGCTACCTGGTTGATCTGCCTGACGACTTCACATCTCTCAACCGCTTGGAGATCCTTGTTCTCAGTGATTGTCACCCTATGGAGAGCCTACCGAGGAACTTCGGCGACTTACCGGCCCTCAAAATGTTGACATTGGTCGACTTGGACATCTCTGCCTTCCTCGATTCGTTTTCTAATCTCACTTTACTGTAGGTCCTCGTCTTGAATAGTGATATTTTGCAGCTGACAGGAGGATTTGGAGAGCTCGCTAGTCTCCAGGTGCTTCATTTGAGGGACATTCACGATCTCCCGCGCTCGTTCACGCAACTATCTTCCTTGACAGAGCTTCATCTCAACAGTTGCAATATTTCCGAGCTTCTCGAAGGCATGCAGGGGCTGCAGAACCTGAGAATTCTCTGGTTTTGCAATTGCAATAGAATCAGGACGCTTCCGGCGTCGTTGGCAAGTCTTCCTTGCCTTGAATCCCTCCGTTTCCAGATTAATTCCGATAGGCAAGCTCTGCACGACGACGACAATGAAGACGACAATAAACCGAGTAGTAACCTCGTCTCAGTACCAGAGGGATTGGAGAGCCTAGGGAAGCTGAAGGAGCTGGAGCTGTCTGGATGTGGCAGTTTAACTCGCATCCCACAGCACCTGCCACGTTCGCTTGAGGTCCTGCGAGTGGGGAATGTTTTCCATGAGACTTACCTTCCTGACTTGTCGCTGCTGCCAAATCTGACGGATCTGACATTAAACCTGCCTTATCTGGAGTGTGGAATGGTGATGAGCAGGAGTTTGACCCAGCTGCACCACTTGACCCTGCGTTTGCCAGACACAGCTACGAAGCTTCCCTTCCCGCTCACATTCCCGCAGCTCCGCTCGTTCACGATCCGCGCAGCTGGGCTGGAAAGGCTTCCGGAAGGCATCGCATCAATGTTACCGTAGCTGCGGAAGCTGAATGTGGAGTGGACCGAGTCGCTAGACACTCTACTGTCAAATGTTGTAGCCTGTAGTGAGGTTTGTCTTAAGGGGTACAAATGTTAGGGTTTGCTATATGTACCCCAACCCTCATCAATAGCACAACACTTTCATTCTTGACATGGTATCACCTAGGTTAGGATCCTGTAGGATCCCGTTCCTCCCGCCCGAGCCTTACGCGCCTCACCAGTTCTGTCGCGTAGCCCCGCCGTAGCTGTCGACACTCTCCCGTTCCGTGTCCCGTCCCGTCCCGAGCCCGTTCCGCCGCGCGCGTTCCCCTTGCGCCCGCCCGTTAGCGCTCGTTAGCGCCCGCTCGTTCGCGCCCGTCTTGCGTGCCCGTTAGGCTGCCGCCGCGCCTGCCCGTTAGGCCCGCCGCGGGCCCTGCCTTCGCACCGCCGCGCCTGCCCGTTATGCCCACCGCGAGCCCTGTCTTCGCGCCGCCGTGCCTGCCCGTTACGCCCACCGCGGGCCCTGTCTTCGCGCCACCGCGCCTGCCCGTTAGGTCGCCGCCGTGCGTGCCCGTTAGGCTGCCGCCGCGCCTGCCTGTTAGGCCCGTCGAGGGCCCTGCCTTCGCGCCGCCGCGCCTGCCCGTTACGCCCACCGCGGGCCCTGTCTTCGCGCCGCCGCGTCTGCCCGTTAGGCCGCCGCCGCGCCTGCCAGTTAGGCTGCTGTCGCGCCTGTTCGTTAGGCCCGTCGAGGGCCCAGCCTTTCGCGCCCGTCGCGGGCCCCGCCCTAGCCTCTCGCCGCGCCTGCCATTCAGCCCGCCGCGGGCCCGCTCTAGCTGCCCGCAGCGCTTGCCTTTCGCGCCCGTCGCGGGCCCCGCCCTAGCCTCTCACCGCGCCTGCTCGTTAGGCCCGCCGCGGGCCCTCCCTTACAGCCGCCGCGCCTGCCCGTACCGCCTGCCGCCGCGCCTACTCGTTAGGCACGCCGCGGGTCCTCCCTTACAGCCGCCGTGAGCCCTCCCTTACAGCCGCCGCGCCTGCCAGTTCAGCCAGCCGCCGCGCCTCCTCGTTAAGTCCGCTGCGTGCCCACTTGTTAGGCCCTTCCTTCGCACCGCTGCGCCTACTCGTTCAGTCCGCCGCGGGACCGCCCCTAGCCCCGTTGCGCCCCTGTTTTGCGCCCGTCACAGACTTGCCCTAGCCACCCACTGTCCCTACCAGTGCCACCCGCCGCCAGACTTGTCGCTTCTACTTACACTATGGCGACACCTAGGGTTCTTCGCTTTGACGCTGACGGTAGACCGCTCGAGTTTCCGGTTTGGCTCCTACGCGTGCGTCGCCTTTTAGAGAGTCACGTTCAGGCGGGCGAGTCCCTTTGGGCGCACGCTACTGGTGACCTTCCCGCGCCCGACGACCCTACGCCTTTAGGCACCGCCCTTGATTACGCAGCCAGGGACCGCTTTACCCGCCAGCGTACTGACCTGACGGCGTGGAAGTCGCGTGACGCTGCGGCCTGCATCGCTCTTAGCAGCCTCCTCCCTGAGTCTGAGGAGGCCCACTTCACCTGGGGCTTCACACTGCTTCTTCCGGGACCACACGACACTTACTCCGCTTCCGACGCCGGTCTCTGTGGCTTTGGCTGATCCCACCTCGGGACCAGTCACTGCTCGCTACACTACTACTCTTCCGTGCCCTGCTGTTCCCTCTGGGTGTCTGACTGGCTTCCACGTCCCCTCGTTCTCGCGGAACTTGGTGGGCGTGAGGCCTCTTGTGAGTCAGCACGTGGGTGTGTGGATTGAGCCCTCTGGTGAGATGGCGGTTTGTGTTGACGGAGACACTTACACGTCTCTTGCCACCTTTACAGTTGAGCCGGGCTCTGGTCTCTACACACTTCACACTCGCTCTGGTGGGCAGCAGCAGCAGCGACTACTGCCCCCGGCCCCTGTTCCTTCCCCCAGTCTGGTCCCTGCGTCTCACCAGGTTGCTGCGTCCCCCCATGTAGCTATGCCTGGTCAGGTTCCCGTGTCTGGTCCAGTTGCTGCGTCGTGCTCCTGCCGGTCACTTGCCCACCCCATCGTTCTGTGGCACCACCGGATGGGGCACCCGTCTCTCCCTCGTCTGCGCACAATGTCTCGTCAGCGTCTTGTCTTAGGCCTCCCACGTGTCTTGCCGTCGCTGCCGCCTTCGCTTGCACCACCGTGCGGTCCCTGCGTCGAGGGTCGGCTGCGCGCCACCCCTCACTCCTCCCTTCGTCTGGCCACCGAGCCTTTTGAGGCGCTCCACTTGGACGTCTGGGGCCCCGCCTCTTGCCTTGGCCCTGAGCGTGAGCGTTTCTTTCTGGTGGTCGTTGACGACTACTCCCGCTACACCACAGTGTTCCCCCTTGCGAAGAAGTCTGAGGTGACTTCTACGCTGATCAGGTGGTTGCTTACCACTGAGGGCACTCGTGGTCGTCGAGTCAGCTGTCTTCACTCCGACCGTAGGGGTGAGTTTCGCTCCGGCATTCTCGCTGGATTCTGTCGCGAGAAGGGCATTCGTCAGTCCTGGACGCTTCAGGAGTCCCCACAGCAGAATGGGGTTGCTGAGCGCCGCATAGGCTTGGTCATGGAGATCGCCCGCACCTCCTTGACTCACGCCCGTGCCCCCCATTTTCTGTGGCCCTACGCGGTTAGGTACGCCGCTCACCAGCTGAACCTCTGGCCACGTGTCTCTCGGCCAGAGGTTTCACCGACTAGTCTTTGGACCGGGTCCCCTGGTGTTGCGTCGCGGTTTCGTGTCTGGGGTTGCTTGGCTCTTGTTCGCGACATCTCCGCGGACAAGATCTCGCCTCGCGCCGTTCCCTGTGTCTTCCTTGGTTTCCTAGAGGACTCCTCTGACTTCACCTTTTACCACCCTCCCCTTCACCAGTTTTTTACTCCCGTGACGTCACTTTCGACGAGTCCGTTCCCTACTACGTCAGGTACCCCTGCCGAGGTCTCCCGGTTCCTCCTCCCCCTCTCGTCCTGACTTCTGCTCCCCCTCCTGCTCCCCCGGTACATCCTCCCCCCCTGGTCCAGCCCCGTCAGGTGTGTCCCACGCTACCCCTCCCCCCTCGGTAGCCCCTCAGGTACAGCCTCCTTCCCCGCAGTCCTCCTCGGAGCCTGCGGCAGACCCTGCGGGAGCCGGTGTTCG